TGGCCGAAGCTAGCAAGACTGCAATCCCAAAGATGTCTAACACTCGAGGGGTTGAATGACACAATGCTGTTCTGACTTTTATCCAGCTGAAGCCTTCCATTGAAGCTACACTAGAAGACATCAGCAGTTGGCCTGGGGAAAGCTGTGCTTCTGAATGTTGTGCTTATCTGGCTAGCATAATGCGGTTCCCGATTGCCCTGATGTCTATGAAGCACCTGCTGGGAGCGACTAGAGCTACCAGCACTGCTCCTCATGGACCTTCGCTCGAATTGCCTCAAGCGATGGATCACATTCGGAACTTGCGTCACCTCTTTCAACAATGGCGCGATGACGAAGGCAATGGTCGCTACGAAAAAGTCTCTAATAACGCAGCAAAGTTTGGCGATATTCAAATAGAAGACAGAAGAGGCTGATTTCCCGTAGCAACATCGGCTTATCATCAATTCAGACAGTCGGTTTACCTGCCCTTTCTTAAATTTGTCTTGCTGGATCTCGAGGAACGCTAAGTTAGAGCAGCTTCTTTATGTGTTCAAATGTGCAAGCTGCTACCCGGTTGGATAAGTGAGAAGGATGCAAAGGAGAAAGATTTTAATGATCTGGTCCAGTTATACGAAGGTGTACTTCCAGATGGTGACTTCCCCAACTAGTTCGAAGTTTGGAAAAACATGTGGCGCTTCCCTCTGTACACTGATACCCCAGAATTCTTCACAGCTGCATTGAGAGTGTGTCACAAAGTCACAATGCCAGTAATTTTTGCTTTGCTCCAGATTGGTGCTACCCTCCCTGTGACGGTGTGCTCTGCTGAGCGCTCTTTTTCAGGCATGAAACTACTACAAAGTTACCTGCGCTCCACTATGAAGGAGGACCGACTCTCAAACTAGGCGTTGATTTACATCCAAAAAGATGTAGAAATCAAAGTCCAAGAGGTCATCGACAGATTTGCCGCAAAAAATTGTAGACTCAATTTTGCTTAATTTTGTTCATTTTCTTATGGTAAATAAATCCATGTTTTGTCAAAATTTTTCTCATTCCGCCACCCCTCAAGAACATCCTAGATCCGCCCCTGTCCACAATTATTGATGAAAACCATAAGTGATTGAAAATGTTGAAAACAGTAGAAGATTTCAAAGTGGCAATCAATTAACATTCGACTATGTCAACATAGAAGCCTTAACTGTCTTTGTTTCGACTATATTTGACCGCGGAAAACATTTCGACAACAATTGACCGAGGATGAACATTTTGATTAGTTCGACCGAGTAAAAAAACTCAACTGAGGTGTTTTTTTAACCAAAAAGAGTGTCGACCGACAAAAAGAAAAAGTTCGATTGTGTTTGACCGAGGAAAAAATTTTGGACTAAAATTGAACAACCTCAATATCGTCACTATTGTGTTTTGCGCCCTCGTCTGGAGTTCGAAGGTGGTCCGGAATAACTTTCCTCTGCAGATTGTTCCAACAAGTCTGAAGCGACTTACTGATATCATTACAGAGATCTAATGCAACCTTCTGCTGAAAATTAGGAAATTAAAACACATTAACAACTTTTCAAAAACGAGACCTGGAAGCGGCCTTCGTTATCTTCTACAGATAGACCTAAAGCATCCTTCACCTGCGTTAAAACCTTAAAAACAACCTCGGTTTAGTTTAAAAGTTATTAAAAGTATTTCTAATTTCTCTCGCCAGTTGACGCAAACTTTCCAGCTTCTATTGTAAGCCGTCGTCCGATAGATCTTTATTGTATCGGAACTTTTTTTGGTTTCACGTAAGAGATATTGTACGCGAGTGCAAGTCTCCAATATCAACGATTCACTATTTTCTTTGTTCCATATCAATGTTTTTTTTTCGATAAGTCCAAGGATTGCGATTTTGATGTTAATGTCCAGGTATCTTTTGACATGAAATTCCATCTCTTTGGGGGTCTTTGAAACGAACACGTTCATATACCGGCAGTCAATAAAGGTCGTGTAGAAATGGGGTTATGCTACATATCTTCCAAAGAGAAAACACAAATCTGCAGACTGCATTCTGCACTCGCTGTAAGTTTTCATCAGGTATGTTGGCAGTCCTGCATAGAGACTTACAATAGTCTAATCTGCAGAGAACAAGCGTCCTGGTTAGAAAGTTTCTTTTTTCAAAGCCAAGATAATATTTGATTGAGTACAGTTTCCTTAGTTGATTGTAGCAATTTTGACCAACATTTCTCATTTGTTTATGCAATTTCAATTTCGACTCAATTGTTACGCCCAGTGACTTCAAGTGTTTGCAGAATTAAAAATTTGGGTTGGCAGGTAGTCGAATCCGAGGGGGGGGGGGGGGGAGCGTCCGCTCTCTTTAAATCCGCCCCTGTATAAGCAGAATGTCTTGGGTCTTGAAAAAACACTTTCCTCAAAGTACTTAATAAACTGTTTGTGTAGCAATCTTTCAAAAACTTTGGAAAGGAACCCCAGGTTCGATATTGAACGGTATTAAGCCAATTTTTTCGGGTTCAAAATTTATTTTTTTGATGACAGTCCTCACATAAGCTTCCTTAAAATTTTCGGGGAAAATACCATCGTCGAGACATTGATTCAGAAGATTAAGGAATAAACGCATACAACTGCTTTTAAAACTTTCATTTCTCTAGATCCATTGGTGTCAGATGGCGACAGCGAATTCGAAACGTAGTCAACTGCTTCTTCTAAAGTTTTGCAGTCAACAACAGAGAAAAGTTTTAAAGCGTTTTCTGCCCTAGTAGTATGCGACTTTACTTCGGTCAACTCTGCTATGAAATTTGCTGTGAGCTCTGAAATTTTATCGATGAAGTAGGAGTTCTGCTAAATTGCTGTTACTTCCTGGTGTCTTCGGGTAAGTCATACCCGTTTTGTCTCCAAGAAGGCTCTCAAAACTTTTGGATTTTGAATCAAGATTGCATTCACTTTAGTTTTTTTTTTCCGAAGTACTCTTCCTTCTTGCACATGAAAAGCCCCTTGCACTTGATTCCTTGTTCTTTTAAACAAGTAGCATTAGTTTTTTTCAGAATGGAATTTTTTATAATAAAACTCGAGGTTTTTTTCTGCCTTTTGCGCACTCTTTTGAGAGATGACCAAGTGGCTTACTGGTGCGTGATGATCAAGATACAGTGAAAACACCTCCAGTATTGCATTTACATCAGTCTTATCATTGATGCATTCAAACTTTTCATCTGAAGACAGACAAAAAGATAGGTATGTTTTCAGATTCATCAAGTTTACTTGTTGTTCCGACTTTCGTAACAAAAGTTACGGAATATTTGTGCTCGGTGTGGGTTTTTTCTTCAGAGAAACTTCGACTTTTTAACTAGCCACATTTGACCAAATTTTTTTAAATATTATTTAAAAGCTATTGTTGTCCTGAGCTTAAATTTGAAAAGATATTTCACCTCTGATCATTTTTCGTAAAGTTATGGGGGTTTAAAGATTGCCATTTTGGCCAATTTGGGACAATTAACGCGCGATACAATTCGCGCTATTAACGAGTAAGCGGAGATGTAATCCTTTGTAGAAATCGTTCCAAATTGGTTCAAGAAAGCTTATATGCCATAATTGATTCGTTAATAGGAGCGAAATTTATCACTTTGTACTTAATATGGCGTTTGGAGGGATGTTTTAACAAAAAACCTCAATTTTTTTTCAAAAATTTAGTTTCATTTTTTTTACATTTAAAAATTTCATGTCATTACTGCTCCATAGAGCTTAAACGGCAGTCAGAACATTTAGGGCTTTGCCCTGATCCGAGCAGTCTTGTTCACTTTACTATAACTATAAGTGTTTCAGAGATCGACTGTTTTGTGCATATAAAGTACAAAAGAACAGATTTCGCTCCTTGTAACAAATCAATTATGGCAAATAAGCTTCTTTCAACCAATTTGGAACGATTTGTAAGACAGATTAAATATCCGCTTACACGTTAATAGCGAAAAATAATCAAAGATGAAATATCTTTTCAAATTTAAGCTCAGGATAACAATACCTGTTAAAGGATATAAAAAAATTCCGTCAAAAATCGCTAGGTAAAAAGTTTAAATTTGTCTGAATAAGAAAAAACCCACCCCGAGCACAAATATTCCGTTACTTTCGTATCGTAAGTCAGAACAAAAACATTTGAATATTGCAACTCTGAACGCTCGCTCAATTCTTAAGAAAAAGGATCAAATCGCTGCTGATCTTCTATACTTCGATATTGACTTTTGAGTTTCAACAAAAAAAGGACTTGGACAAAAGAAGATGACGATTTTTTTGCTTCCAAATAACATGAAAACTCACCAAATTTCAGACATTTTATTTTTTCCAGATCATAAATACTTATATTGGCATTTTCACTGTGCTTTTTGCAGCAATATCAATGTAAATATTTGCATCGTGCAGATGCTCCTCAGAACCATAGATGCAATCCGTAATCCTAAATCCGGCAGTTGAATATTCCAAAATTTCGGGCAGAATCAATTCCGGTTACATCTTAAGGAAAGATATACGAAGAATTAATATGGCAAACATTGAGGGCACCATTCGAAAAAACTCATCCTCTGAGTACCACGTTTTCAGAATTTTTACGGGAAACCTTGTTAGACCCGTTAAGCACCCTAATTTCTAGAAAATCAAACCCTTTTTTATCAAATTCTAGAATTGAATTGAGTTGGTACAAACCCGTATAGAAAACGAATTGAATACCTAAAACGCAACTTTGCACTGTGTTTTAAAATTCAGGGTCTGCTAAATAATGAAATTTACCGGATGGCTGAAACTCTGAAAAGCAATTAGCTTTTTAAATCAATTAAACTTAATGCGAAATTCCAGCACAGGAAGATACAATGAAATGATGTGTTACATCGCTAATATTTCTTACCTTCTCAGTAAGTGATAACTACGTACACATCTTGCAAGTCGATTATTACGTAGGAACAATGCTTTTAAAAGGTGGTTTGAAAAACAATTCAACATTTTCTACGACAGCGAAGTTTTAAGAAATCGGCCGTGCGAAAACATAAACAGAATAATCAATTATTTGATATAAGGCTAGGAACATTTTGTAAGAGTTCATCTTTCGAATTCAAATAGTTTGAGTTTTTCCACTTTTCACGCAACAGTTTTAGCACTTTTCCCACATCTTTTCCAGGTTTAACGTTGAACTGCCTCAAATCGGTTCCTGAAATCGGGAACCTTGGGACGTCCCAACTCTCGAGATTCATAATCAACTCTTCATTTCCAGTGTACTTCAAATATTCAAAAAGCGGATGCTCTTTAGAAGGAAAGTCTTTGTTGTCTACCAAGAGATCTTGGAAATACTTCAAATCAAACTTCTTTTGATCAGGCGCAGTTTTATGCTGGACTATAAAAAGCGCAATCAATCTTTCAAGTCGTGAAAACTTGATTCTGGCTTCGAACTTTTTGACTTCCGTTTCCGTTTCAAACAGAGACGACAAAAGCGTAATTGGCAACGGTTTGAACTTTCGTGACTTATCGTAAACAGTTCTAAACTCAGGATTTGGTTTTCGATCTGGCACCTCGAAGTATGGAAATAAACCTACTTCGTGCATTTTTTCGACCAATTCTGGGGCTTGATTTCCTACCAGAATTAGTTTTAGCTCAGACCAGATTCGCTCGCCAGAAATGCCGCCCAGTCCATGAGCGTTTAACCGGATGACCTCTAAACTTTCGTGATCATGGCTGTCCGACGGTGGATCAATTCTGCCGAAAAAGCGGAAGTACCTGAAAATGAAGAACAAAACTCGATTAAAGAACAAAGTAGTATCTAGATCAAATTGGAAATTGTTACGACACAACCATTTCGCTGCGGTGCAAAAAATTTTTGTAGACAACTAAAATTTCTAGTTTATGCGATCTTACTTAAATTTTACACAGAGACGAAGCTGAACTTACGAAACAACGAAAAATGGCAAAAAAGAGCTTTGGGAAATGGCAAAGCAAAATGCACAAAAATTCAAGAACATTCAAAATTCTTTATCAACTCTCCCCCCCCCCCTTACATTTGAATTTCCATTTTAAAAAAGCAATTTAACAAAGACATATTCAAATATCCAAACTAACTATTTTGAACTCATATCCAGGAGGGTTAGCGCTAGATAGTCTTAAAGTAGTAAAAGAACAGCAATGTTTACGCCAATTAATTGAGAACCAACCGTAAAATTCGGAGATAATCTTCCTGGATTCTCTTCTGCGCATCTCCCACAAATCTCACTCTCTTCAATTTCAAATCTTCAGCCCCGGAGAAGTAATCATACAATGTGCCATCTAATCCCAAAAAGAGCGAGTTAAACGTCAAGTCTCTTCTCTCCGCGTCAAGCTGCCAATCTTTCGTAAACTCGACCTCAGCTCGCCTGGTATCAATTAAAACTAACTCTCATCAAAAAATCTTCAACATACGTTAATCTACAGATATGCGAATAAAAAATTCAACTTTTGTCATAAGATTGTTTCTCTGGAAAAATTCAATGCATCACAGAATCATCGTCATGAATCGTTAAAAACGTTGAAACGCGATTCGATTAAAATGTAGAAATATCATTAACGGTTGTTACACTTTCAAAATCCTACAATTTCAGAGCTTTCGTGTAAAAATAGTGCAATTAATGTAAGCATCAGTTAAATTCCAGCTTTTTCAGAGAAGTTAATCAAAATAAATTCGCGGAGAGTTATGTTTTATTGATGCCTCGCCTTCCATCTGTGACTTTATCAATCCTCAAAGTCGTAATTTCATAATTCTCATCATCTAAGCGAATAGTGACAGTGCCATGAGAAAGACCATTAGTGTTGATAGTTCTCCAGTCGTGCTTCAAACATAAATCCAGCATTTCTTCTGGCAAAGCTGTAGTAGCCAAGTCGACATCTTTCGGTCCCTTTCCCTGCAGTAAATCTCTCACGGCGCCTCCACATAATCTGATTTCATGTTTGTTTTCCTCAAATACAGTTTGGATTCTTCGAACCGCAGGAGTTAGAAGAGCGTTGAATTCTTTCGAGTCAAATTTGGACATCTGCAGTGAGTAGAATTTGGGCAAATAAAGACGAAGTTGGAAATTAGCTCTGAGTAATTGATTAAATATCATCAGAACAGCAAATCATAACCGATCTCTGAAAACATTGCAGGATTGGGAAGAAGCAGTTGTCTTTTATAACCTCGCAAAAATTGATAAAAGTAATATTTGACCGCTGGTCTTTTGATACCTGACCAACGGCTTGAAAATTTTCATTGTCTTCAAATACGACTTAGTAGCTATTTGATGCATACTTGATTGATTCAAAATATAAAGACAGGTCACATTAAATTCAGAAAAAGTATGTCAAAGCTAGCAAAAAAAAACACATTTGATAAATTAAATCAGTTTAGCCATTTGAACCGCTTTGACCTGTGGTCGCTTTTGCATCACAAGCTACCACTTTTACCTTGCTAACAGTCACGTGAACATCGGCCGAATCCGTGAACTCGGCGTTGTTGAGAATAAAAGTCCACACGTTATCGCAAAATCTATAAGTTTGCAAATCGCCTTTCACGTTCAGTTTAGTTCGTACGTTATGGGCCAAAACTTTACCAATTGCACGGTCGTACTGATTCAGAACTTCAGTTACAATTCCAGGCGTGATCAGTTTCTGTTGGTACAACTCATCGAGAGCGTCTTGAAGACAATTTCCGAGAGTGGTTTTGCGGTAGAACTGATACGTCATTTCCAAGAACACTAAATATTGTAGGAGATTCTGTAAATTTTCCCGAGAAAAATCTTTCACAATTGATCTGAAAACAGCGACATTCGAACCTAAAGCTACATTATTGGATCTACTAGCTAAATTACCTACTCAGCTATATACTAATTACATCCAACTCTTAGATTTGAAAACTAAAATCGGTATCATCAATTCAATTGAGTTGATTTAAGGGACATTATTGATCAACGACTATCCGCACCGGAATTCCATCGGTTTTGGTCAATTTTTATCGAATATACAGGATTTTTCATTCTCAGTCTCTATGAAACTGATACAAAACTGTTTAATTTGAATTATAGTCAATTTAAAAAAATTATAAGTTTCCTATTTTGAATTGCATTTAAAATAATAGAGATTAGTACAAATAAAGTTCCTTCTGATGAGTTTTTGGGTTCAAAACAAGTCATTAGTCATAAGAAAACGCCGCTGCAAGCGAATTTTTAAACTATCATTGTACCATTCTTTCTATTCAATGGGTTCCCGTATAACAGCTTCACCGTATAACAAATAACCGAATAACAACTTTAGGCTTATTATGAACAATCGTAAAAAAACGGGCATCATATAAAGCATAACAAAAATACCTTTATTTTTTAACGTTTTTCATCTAGGATAATTGGGCCAAGGAAAAAGAAAATTGAATTCATTATGAGCCGAGGTACCACCAGGAGCTAAGTCCTGTGAACTAAGTTGTTTAGGGAAAAAACTATTCGCGGGATTATGTACCGGCTAAGAGCTAATAAAAATGATGCTTCCACTAAAAAAATGTAAATTGGTTGCAAAAGTTGAAAATTTAATTCTAGGGTGTAAGATCCATAAGTTACCTTACACAGACCAAAATGTGTTGGTGAAGTTCAGCAGTGGGAAGACTAGAAAACTTGATTTACTTTTGACTTTGATTTACTGGTTTTTAAATCAATTAAGATTCCAGGCCCATACTTGGTTTCTTTTTTTTCTTAAATGTATATATGACCACTAACGGAGCGTAAACGTACAGAAGAAACTTTCACAAGTTTCAGAATCCTACCGCCCTGCTTCAATTTTAAGCTCAGCAGTAAAAAATTTTAGAACGTTTTTACCCACCCAACCCATCTAAACTCGTCCCAGAAGCAGCTCATCAGCACGGTCTCCGAGTCCTACACTCAACAACGACTGCCATATCTACTTTTGAATTTCATATCAAGGACGGTTTTAATGAGCAGCGACACCCTGAAAGGACTGTACTTGCCACTCTAGATATATCTAAAGTTTTCGACATGGTCTGCCAACGGACTCTGTTGGAACTGCTACATAACACCACTAGTCTTGAAAGCTAAAAAATGGCTAGCAAAAAATTTATAAGGCCGGAAAACCAAGACGCAATTCAGGGACGCCTTGTCTACAACAAGGATTCTGCGTACAAGAGTACCTCAGGGCTCAATCATCTCACTAATTCTTTTTTATTTCTACGTTCACGATGCACCCAAAACCCCCAAAAGCAAAACCGCCTTCAGTCTGACGTCGATGATTTCCACCCTATCGTCCAATAGCGCAACATAAAACACGCCTCCACTACACTGATCAGCTACCTCATTGAACTACAAAACTTTTTTTTACAAGCAGATTACTTAGTTTTTCCTCCAGGTTTAGTCAGCCTTTTACGTCACGCAATGAAGAAATTGACCATGACCCGAAAAAGACGACAGGTCACTCGTTTTTACCAGTGCAGAAGCACCCAAAAATAATCGGTATCTCGACTCAGCTCTAGTTTGTCCGAAAACTGCTAACAATCTGCAAGAAAAGCCATGCGCAGGAGACAGTCCTGAAGGCACTGTCAGGCATAAAAAGTGGCAGAGATTCGAAAGTCGAAAGAGACTCTAATGGTGAGTTATAAAACTATAATAATGAGACCGATAATTGATTACGACTGTCATGATTCCGACTGTCATGCTACCACTGATAAGCCAAAATGACCACCTACACTAAGAGTGTTAATTACTTAATGTGATAAATCACCATCAGCTACTCAATTCGCTCTCAAAACTTACGTGCCTGTAATTTCATTGAACTTTTTTCACACTCACACAGCACCACCCCCCCCCCTCTCTCGAAAACTACGCCCTATCATTATAGACACCCACAAAAAGGAATTCTCAACTGACTATTCATGAGGCAAACGACGCGATTGATGAAACCCCCACCAAAATTTCTTCAGTTTCTTCGAGCAGAGGCAGCAATATACTCAAAAAACTGTCTCAAAAATCGAAGAAATTAATAACAAATTACAGTCAACTGTCGATATTTTTAGTGAGGGTGGAAAAAACGACTTCGTTTTTGCACTAATTGTGCGTGATGTATTCAAGTTTGAATCTTTGTCGTATGCTCGTTTATACTAGAATTTAAGGTAATATGTTTACCTGAACTATGTTGCTCGTTTCAAAAATTTAAAATGATCTGTTTTTCTAAGTTAGAAAAAACTAAACAAAGCAGTCGTGAAATAGCTTGAACATGTGAAAATGTGAAAACAAGAATATTTCAAAAACTGCTTTTGGTTTTATACCTAAATTGTATGAACCGAATATTTTCGGTGAAGATTACCGTTGCTATAGCTGTTAATGCAAGACTGTAATTCTATCAACAGACGAAAGGGTTTGTTTTAGTGCTCAGAGAAAAAGAATCGAACATAACTAAAATGAAATCAACAACTCTCGTAAAACTGACAAACAATCCAAAAAAGCAGCATTTGCTTCGCAGTTTGCAATTTCTCATTGTTGTTAAGTGTTGTTAATGCAGAACTGTTTTCCGCTATGGACTTGAAGCCTCAGAAAATTAGAAATTGTTGCAAATATGGCAGCATTCAATTTAGCGGAGCAAACTCTCGTAAAACTGACAAACGACCCAATAAGGCAGCATTTGCTTCGCAGTTTGCAATTCCTTATTGTTGAAGAGATAAGTGTGTTAATGCAGAACTGTTTTCGGCAATGGACTTAAACTTTTCTCCATTTGGTGGAGTCTTCATACTGGCAAACGGCGATTGCATGCAACTTCCTAATGTTACTGGACGAGACGCCTTCCTTTCTAGTTCTTTGCTATTCGGATTTATTTTCAATTTTCTCACACATCTACGCATAGTGGATCGGAATGGACAGCGGCTGCTTCGACTAATGGAGACAAGACCAATCGCCCAGTCGACTATAGAAGAAATTCTAAGATTGTTCAGCGAACTTTGCGATTTTGTCGATTAGTGGGATGAGCTCGATCCCACAATCATGAGTTTTGGGAAGAAAGCAGGGGAGCGAGAAGCCGTGGACCGTCATCTAGAAACAGTTCGGGCGTCTGGTTCATCTCATTTTTTATTCGGGCGAAAGATGAGCTTCGTTTGTAAGGCTTACATGTATGGTGTGACTGGTCCGCTGAGGTTTCCAAATTTCGTGACCGTACTGTCAAGAGAACCCACACGTCTTCTTCTTTATACCCAATCCATTGTTCAATTTTGTCGTAACCTTTCAACGACGCAACAGGGATCACTGGCTATTGATGATTACGAAACTTCAAGCCCATCTTGTGTTTCTGTTTTTGTAGCACAACCACCTGCCGGAGCCTTAAAATAAATCACCTGCCGGGGCCTTTGAATAAATCACCTGCTGGAGCCTATAATAAAAGGTCCGGTTTTATTTACAATTACAAATGGAACAATGCCAGGCGCAACCAAGTTCCCTTATCCAACTACGTTGCATCCAATTGTCACCGACTTCTAGGTAACGAGTTCCCGCGGGTTGCTATAGCTATATCCAACTTGAGTTTAAATACGCTCTGTGGCTTTCCTTTCAAATTTTCGTTATTGGCAGTAGGATCCAGCTCTGCACTGCCTTCATTTCGTGGGCGACAAACAAGCGACACAAGACTCAATCCGCAAAGTTTTGAGCACAAATAACCTTCACGAGGAACGGGTATATAATTTTGTTAGTCAAGTTAGAGACATTAGTTTTAATCGGTCGCCGCCAGAAACCCCAACCAACTCTTTCATGCGCGTAAACTTCAATGTGCCTGAAAAAAGCGGTGGTTCTGTGATTGATCTAGTGTCGATGAAAGATATTAAACTGGAAGTTTTCTCATTCGGCCAACGTCCCGAGGTATCTATGATTATCTTCGTCGTGTCAAAAGCACTGTTGTGGAAGACTTAGATTTGTACTCCAGAAAACCATGAACAGTGAGCATTTATATCAGGAACTTTGAGCGCTAATAACAGCGTCACGAAGTCTTGAATTCTGTAATTCAATTCCGCAACAACCGACCTGATGAAAACATTGTTTCTTTTTCCCTATCACTTCGACAGCTTCTGTAGAATTTAGAGAGTCAGGTGTTATTTCGCTATCCTGGAGTCAATAAAAATGATCTTTGATTTGCCATTTTTCATTGAAGCTCAACGTTTAATCATATAAAAAATTGGTTCAAAAATTTATTAAATCAGTAGCAGTAGTGTCAGTGCGATTTTGCATAGAACAATTGGCGCTGCTTCTCTCACTAAAAGTTTCTGTTCATGTCATAACAATTTGTAACTATTATCGATGCTATTACTAAATATTTAAAAAATGTAGTTTTATCAACAGATGATGGGATTTGTTTTAGTGGTCAGAGAAAAAGATTCGAACATGACTAAAATGAAATCAACGAGTCGAAGCTTCCATTAATTGGAAGTTTTTTTTGCTTAATTGTTGCAAATATGGCAGCATTCAATTTAGCGGAGCAAACTCTCGTAAAACTGACAAACGACCCAATAAGGCAGCATTTGCTTCGCAGTTTGCAATTCCTTATTGTTGAAGAGATAAGTGTGTTAATGCAGAACTGTTTTCGGCAATGGACTTAAACTTTTCTCCATTTGGTGGAGTCTTCATACTGGCAAACGGCGATTGCATGCAACTTCCTAATGTTACTGGACGAGACGCCTTCCTTTCTAGTTCTTTGCTATTCGGATTTATTTTCAATTTCCTCACACATCTACGCATAGTGGATCGGAATGGACAGCGGCTGCTTCGACTAATGGAGACAAGACCAATCGCCCAGTCGACTATAGAAGAAATTCTAAGTTTGTTCAGCGAACTTTGCGATTTTGTCGATTAGTGGGATGAGCTCGATCCCACAATCATGAGTTTTGGGAAGAAAGCAGGGGAGCGAGAAGCCGTGGACCGTCATCTAGAAACAGTTCGGGCGTCTGGTTCATCTCATTTTTTATTCGGGCGAAAGATGAGCTTCGTTTGTAAGGCTTACATGTATGGTGTGACTGGTCCGCTGAGGTTTCCAAATTTCGTGACCGTACTGTCAAGAGAACCCACACGTCTTCTTCTTTATACCGAATCCATTGTTCAATTTTGTCGTAACCTTTCAACGACGCAACAGGGATCACTGGCTATTGATGATTACGAAACTTCAAGCCCATCTTGTGTTTCTGTTTTTGTAGCACAACCACCTGCCGGAGCCTTAAAATAAATCACCTGCCGGGGCCTTTGAATAAATCACCTGCTGGAGCCTATAATAAAAGGTCCGGTTTTATTTACAATTACAAATGGAACAGTGCCGGCACCACCAGGCTCCGTTATCTAACTACATGGCATCCAATTGTCACCGACTTCTAGGGGACGAGTTCCTGAAGGTTGCTACAGCCATATCCAACTTGAGTCTAAATACGCCCTGTTGCTTCCCTCGCAAAGTTTCGTTATTGGCAGCATGATCCAAGCTTTGCATTCTCTCCATTTTGTGGGCGATAAACAAGCGACACTAGACTCAATCCGCAAAAACTTTAGCACAAATAACATTCACGAGGAACGGGTACATAAGTTTTTCAGTCAAGTTGAGATTAGTTTTAACCGGTCGCCTCTAGAAATCCGAACCAACTCTTTCTAGTGCGTCAACTTCAATGTGGCTGAAACAAGCGGTGCTTTTGTGATGGTTCTAGTGTCGCTGAAAGATATTTATCTGGAAAGATTTTCTCACTTTCCAAACGTCACGAGGTCTCTCTGATTAACTTCGTCGTGTCAATAGCACTGTTGTGGAAGACTTAGATTTGTATTCCAGAAAATCATGAACAGTGAGCATTTATATCTGGAGTTTTGAGCGCTAATAACAGCGTCACGAAGTCTTGAATTCTGTAATTCAATTCCGCAACAACCGACCTGATGAAAACATTGTTTCTTTTTCCCTATCACTTCGACAGCTTCTGTAGAATTTAGAGAGTCAGGTGTTATTTCGCTATCCTGGAGTCAATAAAAATGATCTTTGATTTGCCATTTTTCATTGAAGCTCAACGTTTAATCATATAAAAAATTGGTTCAAAAATTTATTAAATCAGTAGCAGTAGTGTCAGTGCGATTTTGCATAGAACAATTGGCGCTGCTTCTCTCACTAAAAGTTTCTGTTCATGTCATAACAATTTGTAACTATTATCGATGCTATTACTAAATATTTAAAAAATGTAGTTTTATCAACAGATGATGGGATTTGTTTTAGTGGTCAGAGAAAAAGATTCGAACATGACTAAAATGAAATCAACGAGTCGAAGCTTCCATTAATTGGAAGTTTTTTTTTGCTTAATTGTTGCAAATATGGCAGCATTCAATTTAGCGGAGCAAACTCTCGTAAAACTGACAAACGACCCAATAAGGCAGCATTTGCTTCGCAGTTTGCAATTCCTTATTGTTGAAGAGATAAGTGTGTTAATGCAGAACTGTTTTCGGCAATGGACTTAAACTTTTCTCCATTTGGTGGAGTCTTCATACTGGCAAACGGCGATTGCATGCAACTTCCTAATGTTACTGGACGAGACGCCTTCCTTTCTAGTTCTTTGCTATTCGGATTTATTTTCAATTTTCTCACACATCTACGCATAGTGGATCGGAATGGAGAGCGGCTGCTTCGACTAATGGAGACAAGACCAATCGCCCAGTCGACTATAGAAGAAATTCTAAGTTTGTTCAGCGAACTTTGCGATTTTGTCGATTAGTGGGATGAGCTCGATCCCACAATCATGAGTTTTGGGAAGAAAGCAGGGGAGCGAGAAGCCGTGGACCGTCATCTAGAAACAGTTCGGGCGTCTGGTTCATCTCATTTTTTATTCGGGCGAAAGATGAGCTTCGTTTGTAAGGCTTACATGTATGGTGTGACTGGTCCGCTGAGGTTTCCAAATTTCGTGACCGTACTGTCAAGAGAACCCACACGTCTTCTTCTTTATACCGAATCCATTGTTCAATTTTGTCGTAACCTTTCAACGACGCAACAGGGATCACTGGCTATTGATGATTACGAAACTTCAAGCCCATCTTGTGTTTCTGTTTTTGTAGCACAACCACCTGCCGGAGCCTTAAAATAAATCACCTGCCGGGGCCTTTGAATAAATCACCTGCTGGAGCCTATAATAAAAGGTCCGGTTTTATTTACAATTACAAATGGAACAGTGCCGGCACCACCAGGCTCCGTTATCTAACTACATGGCATCCAATTGTCACCGACTTCTAGGGGACGAGTTCCTGAAGGTTGCTACAGCCATATCCAACTTGAGTCTAAATTAGCCCTGTTGCTGGATTATCTGGATTAGGTGTTACGTGTTGGAGAAATAGGTTTCACACGCAAGATTCACAGGGACGCGGACATATGGTAATGATGTGTGGTGGAAATGATGCCTGCGATCAACTTCGAAGGGAGTTTCTAAAATCAAAAAGGCCAAGCGAAACCCCAAAAGCAATGAAGGAATGGACTGACGCAATACCACATCAAAGGATTCTCATTGTATCTATTCTACCAAGAGAATTGTCGTAAGCTGAGAAAGACAGTCTCAATAATTTCTTTGAATCTCGAAAAAAATAAGGCGAAGTTGTTAGTAGAACCCAATTACAAATCAAACACGGATCATTTTCACTACGATCATCACACGTAAAATGCGATATTCTCACAATTGATGGATAATGAATGGCATAATTAGTTTGTTTATCTTGTATTGCCGGTGGCATTCAACTTAAAACATTCTTACACATAATCTTAAGTTATATTGTTTGATTATATTGAATTATTTCTTTCTCTGCATATCTGATTATTTCAAAACTTAAGAAATACCACTTAATTATTCGAGCAGCAGAGTATGAAGGTCATCGGAAAAAACTCAAGGCAGCTCAAAAAGGCACTTATCAAATCTGGCAGGGACTTCAGAATGAAAACAGACCGATGCATTTGGCAAGGAACAAATTTTCACAGACCAGCAAAAAAGACAATTTCAAGAAGATGATCTTGTATGGATTGTAGATCCACAAGTATTCACAGACGAAATTCACTTAGGAATGATTTTGAAATTACACTTTAAAGAAAAACTATCGCACGATCTGCAGAAATTAAAACAAAAATGTGAATTTAAAAACGACCGATTGTAAGCCGAGCAGCGGAACTGTTGATTGGGTTCATTTTTGTCAGCAAGAACTTTTAACTTTTAATTATTTTTATTATTAGTCTGCGGCATTTATAACTGCGATCTGGATTTGAGCAACACTATTTATTATCATTTTGAGGTGGTACTAGTATTGACTAAAGATTATGGTGCAGATTTTTGACAAGCTGGACTAAATAACAACAGGAATGGGAATGAAATCTGAACAGATTAAAAAAGGAGGAATCGCTTGAAACAATTCTTGATCGAACAAGAACTGCTAAAAAATCAACAGCCAACTAAATTTTAATTTTCACAACTTACTAGCAAAGTCTAGAAAACAACACTTTATTTAATCAATGAGTCAGATTGTAATTCCACTTAATTTTGTAATAATCCCAATTGTATCCGACTCAAGGTATGAAGCATTATAACTTAATTGGGACTCAATTTTTACACAGAGGCGAAACTGTGCTTCGCATTCACATACGAGAAAATGACCAAAAAGCAGCTCTATCAAGTTAAAACAGAAAAAAGAAATAAGCTTCGAATTAGCAAAAACTCGGCTACGTGTACGATTTGAATCTGCAATCAAGAGATTTTGAGTCTCATGCACTATCCCCTAGGCCACTCAAGCTTAATTACCGACAAACACTAGTCACGATTAAAGCAGCTACTTATGCTAACAAATTGCCAATACGACTCAGCACCAAATACAAATAGACTCTATTTTGCAATTATTAATTTGGAATATAACAAGCTGAAGGCATCTACACTAACTTTGCATGAAACAAATCGCAAATATTAAGCATTTAAAAAAATTGCGAGATATTGATTTAGAAATTTTCTGAAATCGAGTTTTTATTTTTGTGATGTTGTGTGAAACAAATAGTTTTTTCGGTTCATTTGATGAATTAAAAGTGCATCAACTGTGTTAATTGATTTTTATTCGATTGTCCAAGTACGTGCTATCAAAAAGCTGTAAAGGTGCCCCACCATTAAGGGGGTGCCGCACCAATATTTGCGACTTAGGAAGGAAAAAAAGAAGGTTCGTACTAATACACTAGCTTCGCAAGTGTAAATAACCCTGATTTAAAATTCTCAACACAAAAAGAAAATAAATTGTAAATCCGCATCAGAAAATATTCCTAAATTTTTTTTAATATTGAGTTGAAAAACAGGCTACAAAATCCAATGACAATAGGTCATGCTGAACGATAGGCTTATAAAAGTTCTACAATTTCAAACACAGATGCGACGCTGCACTTCGCGAAAACAATCGAGAAATTGTCAAAAAGTAGCTCCAAAAAGAAAAAATAAGAGAAAAAACCAAAAAATGAAGCGCTTGAAAGATTGTACTCCATGTGGCCGAAGTTGGGTAAAATGATACTTTTTTTAATATGCGCAACCATTAAAATCAATTTTAACAAATGGAACTCCCGATGCGGATAGCCAATTTTTAATGAATTCTGCGTCTCACCAACCATGCACGCCAACTTCCGGTAGAAAGACCTAATCTAGGTTATTAATGACACACAAACTACCAAGGTAATTATCATAAACAAAAAAGCAATCTCAAAAAATATGTTCAGGAACCTTTGGGATTATTTATTTTGATTGTTCCATTTGGGCGTTTACCAACTGTTTTGCCTTCTGCCAACATTCTTCGTTCAATTTCGAACACCCTTTACTCAAACTAACGAGTCTCGCCGTATTGAGCATATGGTGAAAATCATCAGCAGAATACTGCTTGTTTTCTTGTCGACTTTGCACAAAATGCTTCTGCGCAATTTCTGACATTTCAAGGGGCACTTCATATTGCAAAAACTTGGCAATTGTCAGATATTTTCTCAGGGCATAAGCTTGTTCAATAGATACTATAGCACATCTTGGCATCGATGGTTCTGCAGTTGGCTTCATTTTCAACCTCAAAGCTGATGACTTAACAAGCGAAGAAGTCGATGACATGATGATGACATTGTAGTTAGTTAGTAGCTCTACATTCTGGAACTTGAAGTCGTAATAGACTTTCTGGTTCTGAATCAAAGTGGTCAAAGCTGCCAGATTAGCCAGTCCTGATTCGTCCAGGGTTCCCGGTTCCATGCATGTTTCGTCTATGATGACTGACGACCCTGGAGGCAGTTGAAGGACCCCTGTATGCAGGACTCCCGTTTCCACGTCCTTGTGGGGAATTAGTTTGGACTTGTTCAGCGATTCAACCGTCATTGGGAAATAGACCAGATTCGGTAGAATCGATTGTAACAGTTGAGTTAGCTTTTTCACGACATCTCTACTGGAGTTCGTTATATTCAGCGTCAAGTTTCCTAAAACAATAGACTGTGACTCGACGACGATCTTTAAAATTACACTTCAGTTTTACATGGAGAAAACGTCCTTTCCTAATAGGAAAAAACACTTACTATAAATAGCACAGATCAACTTTACAGTCAAAATTCACAGCGCCCAAAATACTTTATTTCGCAAACCAATTTTACAAAACTTGTCAATTAGAATTAATAACACAGAAAACATTTATATGGCTATTTATATGGCTATTTATATGAAAATTTATATGAAAATTAGTTCTAACAGCTAGACATCAACAAAGTTCTAAAATGAAAAAAACACCAATTTGAATTTTATTTCCAGGTGAGTATTCTTTCTAGTTGCAACTGTAACAGCCAGCTGCACCGGAACATTCATAAAATCCAGCAAAACGAATAGTTTCAAGACAACGTATATAATTATCAATTAAGGAGTCATCAATTTTTCATAATGAGAAAAACATCATAGAACATTTAGATTAAATTACAAAAACCATACACAGATTTTTAGCTTTAACCACAAGCAACCAAACAATAACCGTCCTATGAACATGTCTTGCTGGGTTTTTATTACCTGATGAAACCATCAGTGCTAAAATAAAAAAGTACCTCCGTTAGTTTCAGATTTTTCAATTTTAATGATATTTTAGATACAAGTTATTTTTTAGTACATTAGAAATATGAAACTGGCAAATGAATGAATGCTACCAGACTGAGTTCTTTGTTCACTTATTTCATATTATTTCCTTATAATATTTACGGGATCAATAGAGCAATATTACACCACCAAGCAAAAAGTGGCAAAACACTATAACAGAAATTTTCAAACGCGAGCAGGTGGTTGAAGTGTAAATTCCTCGCAATCAATTGGTCGACTTATGTTTTTTTTAATGAGTGTGGACAAACTTTTTAGAAAAAATGCCAAACATTTTGTCTTTTTTTTTTGCTTGAGCTATCATTGATTGCTTCGAGGTAAGCAAGTTACCAGGGTCCCTACATCCAGGGGCTTCGACCTCCAGCAGACCCAAAGGGTCATCCCTTTGGTACTTTTTAAGAAATTCATTTTTGGCCCACCGACCATAAAATTTTTCTAAAGGCGCCTTTGGCGCCAATATATACTAACTTTGAGGGGGAGCGCGGGCCAAAAAAACGCGATTTTCTTGTCAAAAATTTCAAAAAGTGTCCAGAAACGGCTTTTGACCTGTTTTTTCAAAAATTTGCCTGCGGCGCAGAAAGTTTGGCCAGAACACCGTCTTTTTAATGCTTTAGAAGAGCGCGGAAAATCAGTTTAAATTAAGGTCGTCAAAATTTTCGAAATTTTTTTTGAAAATCCGCCTCCCCATCGAGAAAATCCTAGATCCGCCCCTGCCTACATCAAACCCAACATCATCCTAAGAGTGCATGCAATTGTTTATTTTTCTTAATGCATAACAGGAAATTACCGGTTTAATATGCCACAAATTTGGTAATTTTTTTCACTCAATTTAGTTTTTGCTGGAGAATGTGGCGTATAATTTTATTTGATTAAAAGTAGCTCAAGATGTTATAGACAGGCCTCAAGTTCCCATAGAGCTTTGTCACCCGCACGCGGGTGGGGAGATTGCTCAACTGATCCTATTTACGTAATGTGCCGAGATGAAAGCCAATTATCAGAAGATCAAGCGTTTTTAGTAAATTTTCGGACCCCCACCAAACAAATACATTTTCAGGGCAAAAATCATTTAAACAGAAATGTTTATTCTAAAACTCATAGTTAAGAAAACTTAATCTCGTATAAAATGTATTTTATGTTGTTGAAGATGTAATAGAATCAGTTGGTCTTCTTGAGTCTCAATTGGATTAATAAGTTCCAGGTTATAAGTTATAAGAATTAATAATAAGTTCCAGGTTTAGCTTTTCTCTTTTCTTTCCTTTCACAGTGTCAAGTTATAAAAAAAATGACGTTTTTGAACATAATTCAATTTTTAAGTTCCGGAGAAACAAAAATGAATATCAAAGAGGGGCTCTTTGAGTTCCATGAATATTTTGAATTACACAATTTTTTCCTGAAATTTATCCAATTAAAGAAAATTGAGTCGAAACTTAATTCTCTATTCCGCTGCGATTTTTGAAAAAAGAAGTCCAATTTTGAAACTGGTGTGAGACGAGTTGCCTCGTTAGCAGCGGCATAGCCTGTTTGTTGCCTATTATGACAAAATAAGAAAACTTTAGTTAGTGACACTTCTTTGAGTTCGTTAAGGGGTCTCCAGATGGCTTTTTCAGTCTTGGTAACTTGATTGTTTGGCTGATTGTTTGGCTCAAGCGAGGCTCTGTATCAAAAGTCCATACTGATTCTGGTCAAGTTACCGTGCAAGATAGGGTCTAATCTGTTAAGAAACTCTGCCGATACGAATTGCGGTCATCACTGCTTGCTATGCGGAGCAAAGCTCTTCTGCTGACGACCACAGTGGTGACTAATGCCGCATCTCTTCCTGATGGTGTACCGCCTGCCACCTACTTATCGGCCCAGATATCTATATCGTGATGTTTTGTTTTCTAGGTAGTCTAGAGCGATTGTTGCTTTTTATTCGCCACTTTTCGGCTTGAGTGCGCAGTTTGTCAGCTCAGTTTCCACGATGATGTTCGTATTGGCCGTATTCCATGTGGGTACTTTTGGATTGCTCCCTTCCCATGTCCATTTTTCTAGCTCCTTAACATATTCGTACTCTGTTGCCAGTAATCTTCAGTGACCTCGATACTCTCTTCTGGCGTCTCTGGTATCCTCTTTTCCAGGATTCAGCTGTTCAGTCTTGGTTTGGTTGCCCTAGTGCTGACCATCTGCCATGCTGGCACTTCCACCGTAGGCGAAGCAATCGCAACCGTTGAAGACATGTTGCCCGCCCTTGCGTGACAATTCTCAATTGTGGTCGAAAAGTTAAAACAAATCCTCAATGGCAAAGAAAGTTCACAAAAGAGCCACAGTACAAGAAGGGAAAAGCATTGACGACATTTCCATCATATCAACAGAAATTTTTTAAAAAAATTTCCTTAACTAGAGCAACCCGACGGATAATAATATCCAATTTGTGTTTTATTTGACAAACTATATCACTTAAACACTCGTTCAAATTCAAGAACCTTTCATGATAAATATTTTTCTTTGATAGATTAGATTAATAAATAAAAAAATTGTTTCATTACAAAATTTTTTAGGTAATATCCAATTTGAAACTATAAGGCAAGGATCACTCTCACGCATTTGTAATCAGAGGAAGATCATATTAAAAATTTGTCATATGCATATGAAAACCGAGCTGGAATAAATCAGAAATGTAAATTCTTCTTTCCATTTTTAACTTTATTTTTGGGTATTTTATTAAGTATTTTTCCTTTGAAAAAAAAACTATAAAAACGGTCTACCCAAATAAGTATAAAAAGTATACCTAAATAATTATATTACACTTTTAAACGTTGACAAACCAAAAATTAAATAGGAAACCAGATGTCGTTTTAATACCTTTATCCACGAGATAGAGCTTTAACATAGAACCGCTGTTACACATTTTCGTTATAACTACACGTGCAATTCGTTTTCGTTATTTCTCTGTACAGATATTTTTTATTTGCCCCCAATCGTACCCACTTCTTTTTAAAGTTTAACTTTTTCATGTTTCGCTACGAACTTCAAGTTTAAAAACTAATTTAACGTTGTAATGCAACGATTTTTTTTTGCATTGTGAACAAATCAACAATTGTGAACATGTTTTGCCGTCATATTTTACATCGTAATATCACCCACATAGCCGTTTTAATACGTAAAACGACTATAAAAATGGATCATTTGATATTTGAAATTGTGAGGGGGGGGGGTGGTTTGAAATTGTGGGGGGGGGGGGTCGGGGTGGTGTAGAACAGACTTTTAATTTTCTTTTTTGGGGTGAACGGAAAGGTTGCCACAGCCGCTATAAAATTCTAGGCTGTGACAGATTTAGTCCCATGGCAGATCTCGTCTCATTTTAGTTTCAACAGATTTCGTCCCATTTCGAAGCGTACACGGATTTCGTCCCACAAATTTGGATATGGGATGATAGGATGTTGCATATGGGAAGAAATCTGTATGGGATGAAATCTGTTACTTAAATAAATAGGACGAAATCCGTAGAAGGACGAAATTTGTGCCAATAAAATTCTAGAAACTCAAATATAAAGAATCTAATGAGATTAATTACCGATTGGCATCGTGTCTGCTCGTTTGTACACCGATGATATCAAATGCAGCAGCGTCCACTCGGCAGTAGTCGAGTCGCCCCCGAACAACTCGGTCAACACACTCATCAATAGAGGTCTCGTCTCTCGGAGCACAGCACACGACTGGTCAATCGTGTCCTCTGACGTCACAGTGAGAATGTTGTCTACGACTGCCGAGAGAACTGGTTGTGCAAAGATAGCGTGGAAGATGAAGTTACTCGGCAAAGAAGACGCAGAAGCTGGTTCTAGAAAAAAATATTCACTCCAATACTCCATACAATGCAAATATCAATAATAAACCATGCGTATTCATTTTGCAACAAAGTTTAGGTTGTTGTTCCGACCATTTGAAAACGGAACTTCGCATTCGGATGTACTAGTTTTTTTTTCTCTTTCTTTTTATTTTCACGCAAAATCAGCTACTACAAAAAATCATCGGAGTGAGTTGTGATACGTCATATTAAAGCCTTTTAAGTCGTGATTCGAACAACATTCCAAAAAACTTCCCCTGTGTCGAGAAATACCGATTTGAAATGTTTGATTTTTCGTCTAATTTCGAGCGAGTAAAGCGAGCGAGCAGGCTCATTATAGCTAATTTTAATAACTTATAAGCTTACAATAGCTTAATTCAAGCCGTAGAAACTTAGTTTTTCTCAAGTTAGTTAGCTTTACTCGAGTTAATTTTACTCAGGTTTTTTTCGTATTTTGGTGCCTTGGAAACAAAAACTCAGGAATGGAAAAAAATGAGTTTTTTTGATTTTTTTTGTTTTTCGAGTAATTTTTCTACAAAAATTGTTTTTGACCATTAAAAATATTACCATAACTGTTGAATATTTCAAAGCTCTAGTTTTTTTTTGCTCAGATCTTTTTATCATACCACGCAGAGAAAAACGACATTAATTTGAAAAAAAAACTTTCGTTGTATTTTTTAAGACTATGTTCGGAACATTCTGTGCTACTTGCACAGTAACCGGCTATTCTTGTTTCATTTGAAATCGCCAAGAGTTTAAACTGAACACCGAATACTAATAGTGACAATATCCAGTTCAGCATCAAATGTTTCATTTTTAAATGAAACGCAATTCAACAAAATACATTATGAATTTTGCGCCTTATTAGAGCAAGAATCAGAAGAAATTGAAAGAAAATTCATGTTTTTATTCTCTAAAATGCTTGTTTTTGATGTCTATTTTGGACAATATTTACTTCGATTTTCGGCAAAATTTTTGTATAGACCAAGATCAATCATCAGAGCTACCATCTACGAAACTTTTAAGAAATCATTTCAAAGACATAACAATGAAACCCGGGTCTGAAAGTGCCGGTTTTCCTCATCCGCAACTTTTTCAATTTGAGTGAAATAGAAAGAAACTGAATTTGCGCTTAACTTTGTCAATTAAAGTTAAAAGACAAGTCAGCTTGTTTTTTCACCAAATAAACCGGACGACATTGAGCAATCACCAAAAACTTAACAAAAATCTTTCCTGAACATAAAAATGGTATTAAGCTTAAAAACAAGCAACGCTTCAAAAGCTGATCAAAAGAAACAAGTATAATCATCCTCCAGTTTTATTTAGTTTATTGACCTTAAAAAAGAGAATTTTCCAGAATTTTGACTGAAACAAGGTCCTAAAATTAGTTCTATGAAATGAATCAGGCAAAAAACAGGCCATTAATTAAGTTGTTTTTACCCGAAAAAGATTATAAAACTTTATTTACAGGCAAGTCCACAAACTCGGTTGTTATCAATCAGAGCGAGCCAATGGATTTTGCAGTCTCAAAAAACACACCTTGGAAGATTTTTTGGGTTTTCGAAATTTTGCTGTTGCGTTTTCAACGTCGCCCAGTATAGGACTGAAGCGGTGGAGCGACAAAGATTTAAAAAAAAACTTTTTAACATTGTGATAACGCCATGGAATTTAGTATGGCGAACAGATTTGTACTTCACACTTTGCATCGTATGATATCACATATCCAGCCATAATAACACGTAAAACAAATATGGAATAAGAAATTTGAAATATATAAAAATTTGGGGAGGGAGATTTGACTAAAAACAAACCTTGTTTGTCATGTTCCATCAGAAACTCATCAACCGCGTTGTTGTTCACAGTGACTTTCTCAAACACGCCATAGAACAGATAGACACTATTAAGTACCACGTCACTGTCTTCTCCATAAAATTTCACGTCCAATCCTTTCATGATAACACCACTGCCATCATCGCACCTTCTCAGTTTAGCTGATTTCGAACCTTCTTCACTTTCAGACGACAACGACGAAGACTCCTTTACGTTGAACTTTGACCTCAAATTATCCACGACCCATGAACCTTCACCAGGAACGGGCGTGACCTTCAAAGACAACCGATCGGCGTAATTCACATTTTCTTGGTCAAGAACCAACTCTTCGGTTATAATTGTGCTGTCCTTTAGAAACGCAGTAGACGATTGATTCACATTGTTGTTCGGGCCAATCTTCGCTGTGTTGTTGCTCGTTTTGTAATTCAGAACAAATAGCTCAGATTCTCCGAAATCTTGAAGCATTCCTCGTACAACACATAGCTTGCTATTCGATTGTTCTAGGTAAGCATCATTGCAAAAGAGGTCCAGTTTGGAATTCGATCCCAAAAGTCGATGCTTGAAAGAATCGGCGAATATTTTCAGAAGGTTTTTAGGGTTTTCGTGGCTGTAATTAGCATTTAAAGATTGCACATAGTCAAAAGGGGCGTCAATCCAAGGTTGATCAGACATGATTAGAATAAGAATCAAAACACAACTGAAAATAGCACAATCACTCAAATAACCGTCGTAAAAAAGAAAAAAATTGAAGTTTCGAAAATAAAAGTTCAGTAAAGCTGATCTCTTTGAATATTTAGCAAAAAAATGGCTGATCAAGAAAAAAACAAATACGTTTTGTTTGTTCTAGCATCTGTTCAAGCCACATTTATAGATATTAGTCGCCACCAATTTCTGTCCTTCAAGTTTGCATGAAATGTTAGGATGACAACTCACATTTATTTAGCTACTTCAAGAGATGAGCATAATGACAACTAGTTGAGAATTTGAGCACTTTTTTCATTAATTTTCACGCCAACATGGTTAAGTGGCACTTAAGTTAATTCAGTTATCTTTAACTCCATTATTATTAAAGAAGGCCAAGAGATTAATCTAGGAAGCAAAAAAGATTTATTAGCCAAGAGTTATTAATTAACATTTAACGAAGACACACCATTCATTACTCTGAGAGGACAATTCACGAATACATTTCAGTTTCAGATGACTGCCCTGTAGTCCCAAAATGTTTATGAGACATACATTTGGAAGAAAAAATAGAATAAATAACTACAACAGACAGAAAAGCCACAAAAACACATTTCAAACTCATTAGAAATAACATTCGAAGAAAAGCTACAAAAAAATAACCAAGTTTTTCAAGTAATATAAGTTTTGTTGCAAGACTCAACTTACCAATCAAAAAAGTTTTATCATTGTAATACAAAAACTTTTCCTTTATTATTTCCAAATTTTCGTATTTCCGTTCTATAAAACCGATTCCAATACAAAATGATTCGTTCATTTTCCAGAATATCATCCCAATATCTGATACAAAACATCCACTTTTAAAAAATTAAATTTAAAGACACCGAGCAATTATTTGGGCCGGCCACTTCAATTTTTGGACGAAACTATGACCTAAAGCACTTTACCCCTCAAATTTCAGATAACTGCCCTAAGCTTTTCCCTTCATTTTTATACCTTCGCAGAAAAAACCATTTGGACAATGTTTTAAATGTAACGAAGATTACATTCTTTTGTACTTATATGAAAAGATACTACCTATTCTAAAATATCACCGCAACCCGAGTAAATGAGAGAAAATTAATTGATTTCTTTTTAGCTTTCATGTTTCAATAATTGATTATAGTGGTCGAAACAATATGCCCTACTTGCACAGCAACCCCTTTATCTTTAAATTCGCCATCTTTGTTATGAAATTTTTCGGAAAACCGAATAGTAAACACATTTCGAAGAGATATAAGCTAATCCACTTAGCGTTAAGGACAAACACAAGGCAATTACGTTTTGATAGAATCTCAAAAAAAATCTCAACCCATCCATGGAAACGCAAAACTATCTTATTTCAGTTGCTAGGTTAATTTCGAATGAATTTAGATATTGATCGCAAGCGAAAACTCAAAACATTTTTGTCAGAAAGGCGAAGCGAAGCTTAACACTACTTGTCATATAACACAAATATAGCATGACAAACTAACCGACAGAACATCAGACGACGAAGACCACAATAAAAAAAATCAATTTTGTTAAAAATATGTCGAAACAAAAAAAGATCTATCGAAATTTTCATATCTTCGTCCTGACTTTGTCTTGAACAAAGTTTCTTCTAAACAAAATATGCCAAGTAAGACAATTGAATGCTAATTTAGCAGCAAAACAAAACTTACCAAGAGGTAACAAATCCAAAAAAAACGTGAGCTGAATCCCGTTCATTAAAATATATCCAAAAACAACCTTCTTTTGCTCAACAAACGATTAAAAAAGAGGCCTCTAAAGCAATATAAAAACTGAACATTTTCAGCCGAATAAAAATAACAGAGAAAAACACCAACAAACTAATATACTAAAAGCCTAGTTGATAAACTTACAACCAACGGAAAAACAAACTTCGAATAGAAAACCCATTTAAAAAACACACATGCTCAAAATTTGTATCCCGTGAACAAATTTAAACATCCCGTAAACATAGAAAAAAGTCTTGTATACAGTTGAAAAACCACGGGTAAGCAAGATTAAAAAGTATAAAGTAACTAAATTATATGAAAAAATATAACATTCGGGAGACAACCAGAACAAAGACAGAACTTGATGAAGAAGTAACAACGAACAAACAAAAAAAGACGAATAGTTACGACCAAAAACACAGGTCTAGCCTGTAGCTAAGCATGGTGCAGCAATTGTTCCAACCACGGTGATTCATGCAAGCAAAGTGAACTGTTTGAACATTTTTTCTGTCGAAATTTAACTACTTTTTTTCTTGTTTTTCAATTTAACTCAAATTAGCTTCAAGTTAGGTTTTAGTCCTACTTATAAAAATTTGACTAAAACCGATATGAACTCAATGTTTCATTGAAAACATTTCCAATACTCTCCTGAAAGTAAGTATCAAAAAGGGTAACCTTGAGACAATTCTTGAAGAACCTTTTCTTTTAAATTCTTATCATGACTGAAATGGCTTCACTATGATCTATCGCTCGACTCCATCTGACTTTTATTTCAGCTACTTAATTTCCGGGCATGGTCTGAACAAACACAGAAAAACTCATTTTGAGACTGCTTCGAAAACTAAAAATTAGAACTCTCCAAAAATCTACAAAAAAAATTGTGCAATAGAATTTTTCTTTTTAGCATCAGCTAAAGACGGCAAAAACGAGCTTTAATCGAAACTTATCGCAACAATTTTTCAGCGGTGAAAATCTTAACGACATACTGCTACTCAATTAAACAAACTACATGCTTGCCAATGCGCATGAAAAACTCGGTAATACTTTGTTCCTAAAACCTATATACAATATAACAAGGAAAGTCGGTTACTGTGTAAGTAGCACAGAATGTTCCGACCATAGTCTTAAAAAATACAACAAAAACAAAATACAGCTGCTTCAAATGTGAAATTTTTAATGCTACAACAAAAAGATACGTAAAAGCTTGCTAAGTTATGATCTGCCCATCCAAATTTGCTCGTTTTAGGTATACTATAAAACATAAGTAGAGAGAGACACAGAAGCAAAAGCGGATCTTCGCGCCACTAGCGACAACAAAACTAGCATAACACGCTAGCAGACAAAAATGAAATGAAAATCACTAAAAGACACTTATTTGTTTTTTGAAGAAAAAAAAATTTTAAAAAAAACACTAAATTCTAAATGCTTGTCCCGAAGTATTTTCAATTTGATGAAGACGTTTGAGCAAAAAAGAGCAAACTGAGAAATTATACAAAGTCAGGTGCTAGCAGATTTACAAATAACAACAATAATTCAAAAACAATTTTAATAACAATGAAATTGTTTACAGAACCAGGAGAAAACTCAGAAAAATATGGATCGGCAACTAAGCTGACAAATTAACGAAACCAAGGCTGAGTAAGACTTTGGAGCGAAAAAAAAAAATAAAAAAGGTAAATTATACCACTCCAGCGTCTAGTAGACGTACAAATAACTATGAAATCGCTTATAGCACGAGAAAATTCCCGTGAGGTCTCAACTAAGCCGACAAAATATAGACAGACAGACAGACAATAGCTCGACAATGGGCGACAACTTTTCATTACGGCGGGATTTTTTTTCAGTTTGAAAAAAAAAACAGTCCCTGACTCGATTCGAACCTGGGATCTTTGCCGTCCCAGTCGTGGTCGTTACCTCTACGCTGTGTTCTCGACAAATTAATGATTTTGAATTTATTATATATCAAACTATCAAATGATCAGCACATCCAAATTGCTTGTTTAAAATATACTGAAAAATGCTGATAACTTCAATTTCGGCATACTAAAAGAAATAATAAATTTCTAACGCATTGAATATCCGTTTGTGCTAATAATAACCAATTTAACGCAAAACCGAGCTATGCATACGCAATTGAGAAAAAAAACAATTAATTGAAAGAAAATACATAACATAGCATGGAAAAAAAATAAATGATCCTAAGATTTCATACACCGGTTATTCGAGCCAACAAAACGTTTAATCACTGCGTTTAACATCATGCTGAAAAGTCCCGCACGCAAGTCATCTGCATCTTTTTTCGCCGTTTTTTTTTTGAAAATGTGCAACTAGATCTGCTCCTGGATTAGATAGAAATATGTAAAGTAGAACAAGACATCAATATACTTAAAACACATTCATAACAAACCATTTTCGATATATCGCTCTTATTCCAATTTGCAGGGGGGAGGGATTTTCAAAAAAAATTCGAAAATTTTGATGACCTTTTTTTTAGGTCGACCAAATTGATTTTCCGAGCTCTCCTAAAGCACTAAAAAGTCCCTGTTTTTAGGGTCGGTCGCACAAAAAATGGATTTCTTAAAAAGTACCAAAGGGGGGACCCTTTGGGTCGGCAGGGGGTCGAATCCCTGAGGGGGGGCGTCCCCCCCCCCCCTAAATCCGCCCCTGCTCAAAATCAAATTGTTTAAAAATGTTTTCGTCCAAAATGTCGCGACAACATCCACACTGACTCTGCTTCAGCAATTTTAATTTTTAGTCTATTTTCGAGCAAATCAAGCAAGCGAAAAGTTTCATAAAAGGAAGATGAGCTTTTGTTTAGGCCATAAAAGCTTAATTTTACTCCAGAAAAAAAAAATTTTGAATTTTGAATCAGCGCTTTTTTGGGGAAAAAAACTTTTTGGGGAAAAAAACTTTTTATGATTTTTCTATTTGTTTTTCGAAAAAAAAGCGTTGCCAAATATCGCTAATGTATCATCACTATGGAAAGTTATTGGAATCTTCTATCTAAATATTTTCTGAAACATTGCTAAAAAAGCAGCTAGAATTTTCATCAATTTCTGTAGATAGATTATAACATTATATAGATAGTTACAAGTTCTTCGCTGAGAGAGCGAGTGCATACAACAATTTAAACTATAGAGGTTCAAACTTGAAGATAACATCTCCTTTTTCAATAACACTTTTAGAAGCAATTAGTTTCAATTCTGGTGGAGGTTTTATCTGGTTTGAACTTTCTTTCTCTTGATGACCATTTGCAAGATACTCATTGTTGGATAGCATTGTTTTCTTCAAAATTTCATGTATAGTCGAAACTGCTTTTTCGCAAGCTTCGCCGCATTTATTTTCGCCGTAAATGACACACCAAGCTAGGAAAAGAGCACTGAACAAATCCCCAGTCCCTGTAAATCGCGCGTCTATTCTTGGAAAATCAACTCTAGCTCTACTAAATGATCCGTCGTCCAATCTACAACTGCATATTAACGTCAAATCATTCTCTGAATTTCTGTCGAGAAGTATACTACTTAAAACAACAGTTTTTGGCCCCATTTTATGCAACTTGTCGATTGCTAGAAGCGTGTTTTCTAAGGAGTCGCAAGGTTCGCCTGTCAGCTGTCTGACTTCAAAATCATTAGGAGTTATAACATCTGCGACCGGCATTATTTTCTGCTTGTATACTTCAACTAAAGATTCTGGCACATAAAAAACTCCATTGTCGCCTAAAACTGGGTCGCAGTGATATTTGAGACTGGGTTTTGATAACTTGAGCTTGGATATCTCTTCTGATACTTGGTCGAGGAATGACTCCGAGCCTATGAAGCCTGTGAGTACATGGGAGAAGTGGTTGAGATTGTTGGCTGCCATCCCGTCCATGAGTGCTTTGAGGTCAGAACTTTCTAGAACCTAGAATAAAATCAACTAATGTGAAATAAAACTTCTAAATCATTTCTGGAAGGATACTCTCAAAAAGATGAAACTAGCTCAACTCAATCATGTCACGTTTTTTTTAGATTCCCGGACTTATTTATGATTAACAGAAAATTTTCGTTAAGACAAGGAGCGGTTAAATCAGCACCAAATCCCTCCTAAGCGTTAAAATGTTGCGTCCTTCGATAGAAACACTCTCTGTTCGAAACTCGCTCTAACTCATGATTGCTCTCTGCAAAAGTGAGGGATAAAATTCATTGAAGTCGAAAGAGGTTAACCGCAATGAGCTGACTACCTCGTAATAAAACGATACTTCGCGTAAATATACTTCCGTTGCCGATAGTACTACAGCTAACTTGTGAACATAGCTGTCATCGATTGAAACCAAAATGCACACTGCGTTTCTTCTAACACCAAAATTTAAGCCAGACTTTCTTAATTTATAGCATTTCAAAATATGGATTCGCAATGAAAACAATTCTTGAGTTAAGGAATATAAAAACTAAAAGTATTTCTACTACATATCTCTTTGAATATCAAAAAGCTATATTCCACATAACTTTTCACAAAGTTAAACAATCGATTCCCAAAGCTGAACCAGCAAAAATAGAAGGTATTCAAGCGCAAATTACAGTCTTCACCAAGAAAAATTAGAAAGAAGAATTTTTCTATCAGTTAAGCTATTTTGACATGATCACAAGGCAGCAATCTAAATTAAATTAACTATTTTTCCCACAGCTAAAAAAAAGAGAGAGAAAAAGAAAAATTTAAATAATGAAAGAAATAAGAGATTAACTCGCAACTTCTGTAACACCTAGTTACCTGTTCTTTGCCACTGACAGTTGGATACCCTGTATGATTTGAAAACTGCACACTGTTGATGAAGTCCACCTCAAAACCCAACAACTGCAGGGGGAACACGGCTGCCTTGTTGCCCACATAGCCCGACACCACATGACTCTGGATCGACAAAACACGTCTGGCGGTCATTTCTCCCGCTCAGAAGCTAACACTACGTTCAATAGTTCTAGCCAGAGATACAACCAAATTCGATCATAATAAGTAAAATGCAAATATACTATCTGTAAAACAAATGGTCAGAGTAGCAGTAATTGTACTTTGAACTAAAGGAACAACATCTTTTGTTCAAAAATATGACTCAACTTCAACATTGATTCTGGACTTTGGAAACAAAAAGTAAAACTACAAACACAGGGGCGAAGCAGAGCTAAGTATTTCAAGCATTCACAAAAGCTCATTCGATAAACTCAAACCAGGCGAAGGAATCATTAATGAAAAAATCATGTTTTTCGTATTTTTGCAATCAGATATGATTTTGACACGACAACCGTAAAAGTTTAGCACAAGTCTCGATTCTTTGCTTGGTTTTGACTTAGAAGAAAATGAAAGAATAAAACTAAACAGGAGCAGCCGGTTGTTATGTAAGCAGCACAGAAGCTTCCGACCAGTTATTAAAAACCCTTCATTTTTCATAAAATTTCGTTTTTTTTTTCAAACTAAGGTCGTTCTTTTGATCGCTGTGGAGCGACAGGACATGTAAGAAAGCTCAGAACATAAGCATTGGTCCTAACTGACTACAGTCATCTTTCAAAAACGAAACCAAAATCAAACAAAATTATGAAAATTTTAAACTTTTTTCATTCAGCTCATTCAGATGATTATTTGCGCTGCCTGATTTTGCGTGGAAAAAACCAACACAAAAAATTAAACACAATTAAAGACAAAGTCTTAACCCTGGTCAGTGAAAGGGACAAAACTTGTCAAAAAAGTATTCGAAAAATATATATATTTTTTTCAAATATATTCAATTCTTGCTGACTTTCTTCAAGCGGAAAATGCGCGGAACACGAAGGCGCGGAACATGACTGCGCGGAACACGACACTGAGATTACCTTGACAGCAACCTGCCATGGAGTTGAGAATTTCAAACTTAGTGAAATTTTTAGAGTCAAACTTGGAGGCAAAACTTGAAACCATGAGAGACACCTGCATATACCATAGGGTTGCTTATTTCAAACTTGATGAAACAAACGCTGAAATTAAAAACGCACATTACATAATGTATAGATGGGTGAACCCGACCTTTACACTACACTACACTACAATACAGTGCGCTGCCCTCCTCCTCTCTTTCTATGCTGGCATCGATTAGAGCCTTACTTACTTACGGGCTTTTTTTCGTTAAACATGCAAAAAATTTAAATGCCTAAGAATGGCCAGATACGTGTCACATGCATTTAAATATAGTATAGATATAGATATGAACCAAGCAATCAAATAACTTTCACTTTTAAACATAATCTTTGTCAAATGAACTATCAAAAGATCGTTGCAAAACTATTGCGCGTTTTCAGCTACGTCAATTTTTTGAATAATTTAAAACCCATAATTTTACAAGAAGGCGAAGTTGCAGTTCACACACCCAAGCAAAAATATTACCAGTAAAGCTAGAGGGAAACCTTTGAGTCCACAGAATTTCTTAAGTGACGCACACCAATTACGAGTCAACATAATTGCTAAGTGACGCAAGCCAGTTATGACGCATTCACAGTACCAGTCAATTTGATTAAGAAAGAAATTTACCAACTAAAACATTAAAAACATCCGACCCTGTCCAAGTTCGAACCCTCTTATTTTGCTGCGGCTCTCCTTCCCTACCTCTACGCTACAGATCCATGATACCTTGAAGCTAAGCGCTATTTGTTATATTATAGTCTGTGTTAATATCCTTAGCATTGGATGTCTTTAACAGCTGGTTATTGATCAAAATGAACACTTTCAAAGTGAACACATTTCGTCGCAACAATTTGCGTCGCAACTATTTGCGACTTGAGTTATAGTATGAACTCTCTTTTTTTCCAACCTAAGCTTTGCTTGTGTAAAAATAATTTCAATTCAGCACCGATCTGCCATGCAATTTTTTGATGAAAAATATCACAAAGGTCGACTAAAGGCAAACCCAGAACTTCGAAAAACTATTCCGAATTAGATTTAGCTTGAAGGTCAGAATGATTTCACAAAATGAAGACGCTGTCCTATAACTTTTTGAAACATTATAATTGCAAGCAATGGCGGATCCACAATTTTTTCGAGGAGGCGGATTTTCAAAAAATGTTCGTAATCTTCACCAACCTTATTGATTTTTATTAATTCGACCTTATTAATTTTGCGAACTCTCCAAAATTTTAGATAGACCCTGTTTTTACCAAATTTTCTACGTCCCAGGCAATTTTGAAAACACAGGCCACAAAACACAGTTTTTGAGCACTTTTTGGAAAATTTAGAACAATCGCGGTTTTTCGGCGCGCTTCCCCCTTAAAATTAGTGTATATTGGCGCCAAAGTCGCCTCTACAAAATCTTTTGGGTCAGTAAGTCAAAAATTGATATCTCAAAATAATACAAGGGGGATCCCTCAGGGGGGCGTCCCCCCTTCCTAAATCCGCTACTGATCGCAAGTGTAAACTTTAGAAAGTACTCCATGTCGTAAGAAAACTAAAGAAACAACTCCATGTCGATGACCATTTCGCAAACAATTCAAGCAGTAATTTAATGATTGTTTGAAGGAAAAAAACCAATTCTCAATGAACGCAAACTATGCAGCAAAACTTTCTGGTCAAAATTTTAGATGCGAATACAAGAGAATTCATTCGAAAATAGTAAATTTTATATGTGCAAATAAAACAACTTATTCAAGATAAACTCCGTCAAAAACTTGACTGACAAGCAGAATGGAAACCACCAGCAAGATGGCGATTTATTCTTAATCGCCATCTATCTAAACCGGATCATCATTCCTCAACGAGCTAACTGTTCCGAAAATTCGTTTCCTTCCATTTTCATTTAGATTTGCCCTGGGTGGATTTGGGTTCTGCATTGGCAAGTGAGATGTAGGTTGATAATCCCAGCTGTCTCTCTATGTAGTCTACTTCCTCCTTTGTGGCTCCTTGGTTGTTCACAGATGGTCCTCTCTCAGGAAGAGGGGCTCTAAGAACCAAAAAAAAAGAAGAATAGCAACAAGTTTGATAATGGGTTATTTAAGACGGTTCTCTGAAGAAAATTTGGTGGGAATAGAAAATATTTGTGGTCTTCGTTCGATGTGTTTAGAAAATATTCGCAAGAAAAATTTTAATTTATTGTTTTATGTTGAAAAAATAATTATGACCAAACCTTTTTTTTTTGCTGGTGGTTGCACTTTTTCTTTTTTCCCTATATTTTCCATTTCCCCACCACATTTTTTATCCATACTGAAAAACTTTGTTTTAAATTTTGTACTTTTTGATCCAACTTCTGCTCAGAGTTGTTTGCGATAAGATTTCGAGACTATCGTTTAGAATAACAATCATTTACATCACGCTTTAAATACCGTTTTGCGTCTTTAAATCGCACTTTTCCAAAACTTCCATAACTCACTAACTTCCCATTTCTGTTTAAATTACGGTAGATGTGTACAGTTAAAAATAAACATAAATGTAGATAATCGAACATTTACTAAGGAAGATGTAAGGAAGATAACTCAAAAATTATTTTAATCATCAATAGCAAAAAAACGGCTATTGATGATTAGAATAATCATCATAAATATTCATCGATAAAAAAATGAAAAACTGACCTTTTAAACACCTCAGACAATTGTAATTCCATCCATGCAATATGCACAGCTCCAATGAGTGCGCCCATTGATATCGACATCCTATAAGTGTACAGCACCGATTTGATTCTGGTCCACATTTCAAGATACCTTCTCAACAACGATGACTAATTTGGAGGAAGGAAGAACAGCCGGTTTCCATTGAACATTCTATCTACCTTAAAAACTAGATCATCAACAAAAAATTAACCATTGCACTAACAATTCGCAAACCAGATCTAGCAGAATGGAATTCACAAAACTTCAATCACCGGAAAAGAATTCAATAAAAATGTGAAATGATAATTTAGAGGCAAAATACAGCACAGAGATATCAGAAAGATAGTGATTATATCAATGCAAGTGACCACCCTTAATTCAATGCATTAAAAAAGGGGCATATATAGAAAATTCCATCAAGATATTATCTTCAAATAAGGATAAGACGGCCATTTTGACTTCTTCTGATTTAATTTCAACCCGGAACCTTATATAATTTTGAGAAAAAATCTCTTTGCTGAAAGATATTTCAACACAAATCCCTATTTAAACAGTACACCCTTACAGTTTTGTACCCCTCTTTCCCAAATGTAAACATATGCTTAGACTAACGCCTTAAAAAGCCAGCTAGACACAACTAAAAAAGAACATAGCCAATCGAAGATTGGAAAAGAGTAATAAACGCAAGTAAACAGAAAAAAAATCACTTACTTTGTTGAAAAAATTTTAACTTTCGAACTTTAAAGAAAAAAATAAATTCCCTTTCAGCTCTTTAAATTTCCAAAAACATTTATAATGGGCGCTTTTTTGATGGAAATGACAGTAACAACAATGACCCTTTCTTAAGGAAAATGTAACACCCACACATAAATAAAATCTTTATTTTCTCTTTCAGGCGAACGACTAACTAATCAATGTGGTACAGCAACTGCTTTAAATCGAGCATTCGCAGAACTTGGTAAATACAACGCAGAGTTTGTTCAGTGGTCAGGTTTACCTGTTTTCCCTGTTAAAAAATATAGAATCAGGGCAATAACCAAAAAAACTATTAGTGTCAAATGATAATTACAAAATAAAAAAAGCTACTGATCCTATGAACATTCATCATGGAGCATCAAGTGTTCAGAACTTTCAACGGGTAAACACCTACAGTTCGTAATAAAGGAAGGCATTAAGTCAAATAATTTCCAAAAAGAGCTGAAGAAAGCGTACATAACACCGATAAAAAACAAAACGATAGGGTAGCGGAAAATTATCGGCCAACTTCTGTGTCATCAAGCCGCTTGTAATTGAGGATGATAAAACACAGTTCATTGCCAGTAAATTTTACTCCTTGGAAAAATGACAAAAAAATTATCCTTTGTTTTTACATTCATTAAGATGACATACATTCCTGTGATAATTTGAAAAGCAGAGTTCGTTCACTTGTCCAACTGAAAAAAAAGAGATTAGGTAGGCGTGCTTATTGAGTCTCTGGTTCTGAACCCCTGCCAGAATTTATCATATATATTATAAAATTATTGATCCACATTAAGAAGCAGCAGTTGGGTGAGCCTTGTGACTCTGGTTTAGACAGATTGAGACCGGATCGGGGCTCATTGCACAAACTCAACGAGTAAAAAAATTGCGAATATTGCAATACAACGTTTTAGAGGTCTTGTATTGTAATGCTAGCATTGAATACTCGCTGCAGGCACAAGCCAAAAACCTATTGAAGTTACATTGACATTTGCAAGACTTTTCTTCTTAAATAAAAGATGTTCAACTTCATTGTCTTGGTACACACAATGAAGCAGGTATAAGCTGTTCCCCTCCCTCTGATATGAAGTCATATGATTGGTTGAATCAAAGTGGAAGTAAAATCTCAGCAACGTCAAGCTGAGTTGGTACGCAACGTCAAATTTTAGGCTTCGGCGAGAAACTATTGGTCCGCGTCGACCCAAACAAAACGAACCAAGAAGCACTAACCATTAACCACGAACTATGAGTGACAACAACGACCAGTACGATCTACGAAGCTTCGGGAACGAGCCAGGCGATGTACGATCAGTTGCGAATGAGCAACCAGGTCAGAGCAATGCGAACGAGCAGAGCGATCAACCAGCTGTTGTGAGCGTGCAACATGGACTACACGATCAGTTCGACATGGTCGAGCTTCATCGATCAGTTCGATTCTGCAGTACATGGAAACCCAAACCTCAAAAAAGCTGAGAAGTTGAACTACCTCAAAACTTCACTTCGAGGAGAAGCACACGATGTTGTCAAGAATGTAGCAATAACAGACGTGAAGTACGAACTTGCAAGGAGGACTCTAAAGGACCGATTCGACAACAAGAGGTTCATTGTAAGCATGCATCTCAGTGCTGAGTTGAACTACCCGATTTTGAAAACCAAAGATGGAACAAGCCTTAGGAAGCTTTTGGAGTGTTTTCGTGAAAACGTGGCTGCATCAGAAGTGCAAGGCTGTAACACTCAAGACTGGGATCCGAGGCTGGTTCATGTGATTGAGCAGAAACTGGACCCGGAAAGCCAGAAGCAATAGCAGCTTTACAACTCAGGCGTAGAGCTCCAGAAACTACACGAGCTTGACGATTTCATTGGAGCGCGAGCGAGGGCAGTAGAAGCAGTGAAGTCATCAATCAGTTTACAGAAACCAACGATTCCAATTGAAGCACATGCTGATGTCCAAAGTAAAATGGACCGAAGGCAATCGTATGGAGCAACAACTGTGGACGAGCAATGTGTGTTTTGTGGAGCACTTCATACTGTAATAGCATGTAACGAGTTCAAGAAATTGAAAGTACATACACGAAAAGGGAAGTGACTTCCAAACGAATGTGCTTTAATTGTTTGCGCCCAGGGCATATGGTAAAAAAATGCGCGAGCACGCACAATTGTAAGCAGTGTGGAAAAAGACACCATTCTCTTCTTCACGTGGACAATCAGCGCAGGGAACAACCGATTACAACTGAGACAAAGACTGTAAACGATTGTCATACGAGTGGAAACAACCTGTGTACTGTAATTAGTGCTACGTAACCAGACAGAACGGCCCGCGCTACTTGGAACTTGCAGGATACCGCTGTTCAACCATCACAGACAGGAAATCATTCGCCGTGCCTTGATAGACAATGGATCACAGTTTAACTTCGTCAGTGAAAGCTTCGTACGACGGCATGGTTTGCCTCGTAAATCAGTCAACCAAACAGTGAAACCAGCTGGATCTGCCCCCCCCCATTAGAAACGAGAGGTCTTGCTCCGGTAACTTTGTCATTGCCCGGAGAAGACACAGTGCGAGCAGACTTCTTCATCATGCCCCAAGTCACATCAGATCTATCAGGAGACGATGTGGATGTACGCCAGCATAACCTTCCATCTCGATATGCACTGGCGGATCCAGGTTTCTAAAAAAGAGGAAGGATTGATCTTCTATGTGGTGCTGAATTGGCAACCGAGCTCACCACTGGTAAACGGATACAAGAAGGATCTCTCACCTTGGATGAATAAATCTTTGGCTGGATTGTGAGTGGTTCAGTACAGTTACAAAGCAAGCGCAATGCTGATAGAGTTTTGCAAACAAACTTCGTCAGTCAGGAGTCTGATCTGGACTTTAGTCGCTTTTGGACAGTTGAGGACTTGCCTTTGAACAGAAGCCCTCGATCGAAGGAAGAACAATTTGTTGAAGATCAATTCGACAAAACAACCATAACTGAGCCAGATGGTCGCTACTATGTTAGTTTGTCATTCAAGACAAATGTTGGAACCCTCGGCGAGTGCACTCAAACTATTCTTCAGTCTGGAACGCGAACTTAAGCAGGATGTGGTTTTATACACTCAGTACCGAGACTTCACCATGGTTCCGAGACATGGGTCACCTAGAAGTTGTAACACCAGATGAGCTCGCAATGTCAGAGAAAAGAAGCTATTATTTACCCCACAACTGCGTTCTGAAGGATAGTACAACAAAAAAGAGCTACGAGTTGTCTTTGACGCTAGTGCTCTAACTAGTATCCGAATTTTGCTGAACGATTCACTGATGGTTGGCCCCAAGCTTCAAGACGATTTGCTTGATCATCTGCTAAGGTTCCGATGCTACCCCATCGGAATCACCGGAGACATTGCAAAGATGTATCGTCAAGTGGCTCTTAACAAGGAGGATAAGGACTACCATCGAATTCTGTGGAGAGATGTGCCCGAGGAACTGATAAAAACATACAGGATGACCCGGGTGACATATGAAATTGCTTACAGTTGCTATCACTCTGTACGATCACTCAGAATCTGTCGAAGAAACAATCAGTCAAAACTTCTACGTCGAAGATTGGTTGACTGGCGCAGATGACATATCCCTCGCAAAGAAGCTGATCAATGACGTTAGATGTCAGCTAGCAACGAGACAGTTTCCTCTGCGAAAAATTGTAAGCAGCTCGGCAGAAGTCATGGAATCTTTGCCCAGTGAATTGCGCGAAAACGAACAAGAGTTCTCAGCAAACGACTACTATGTGAAAGCATTAGGAATCAAGTGGCTTCCGACTAACAATGTCGTCGTATTCAAAGTAGCCCACGATCTATTCAAAGAGACGTTTCTAAGGTGGAGGACTAAAGTTCACAATGTGGAGAAGTTTGACATAGCGAGACATGTTCTGGAGGACAGTTTTGAGCTTCATTTGTTTTAAGACACATCAGAACCCGCATACGCCAGTTGCATCTACGTCAGGAACACAAAGACAAAATCAACCAATATTTTTGTGGCTAAATCAAGAGTGACACCTTCGAAACCTTTGACGATCCCCAAAATGGAATTGTGTGCAGCTATGCTAAGATGCAAGTTGCTGGACCATACGAGGAAAGCACTTCAAAAGATAGGACGGAATCCGAAGGAAGTTTTCGGATGGACACATGCCACGATTGTACTTTGCTGAATCAACGAGACCCCAAACCTCTGAAACACTTTTGTTCGCAACCGAGTGCATGAAGTACAGGAGGTTTTGAAAACAGTCAACTGGCGCCATGTACGAAATGAGGAAAACCCAGCGGATGCTGCAATTCGTGGACCCGATGCAATGACGCTGAAAAGCTCTTCACTCTGGTGTCATGGACCGAGCTGGCTCTCTGAACTTCGGATTCCAGAAAAACCAAATCAAGCAAACCAAAGGAGCTGCTCACTTTGGTGGACTTTGGGAA